TTTTTATAGTGCTAATGAAACCAAATCCTCTCAGAAAACGTAAAGTACAGACCAGTGCGTATCAACCATTTTTGATTTCTGAATCCCTCAAAATCACAAGTAGCTTGTGAATTGAAGTCTACTGACAACAGTCATGTTCCTCCTAGTTTCCTTATGTGAGCCTGTGGTAGTCCAGGGATCCTCAGATATCCACGTGGAGGAAATCTGCACCTAGTCTAGAACGTGTAGATACCAACTAAAGTGTGTGCACATGACTGAGGGTGGGGAGGGAATCCAGACCTACCTTTATTGCTACATAAAGGTAGCTTAGAAAAAGGTGGCTTGTTATCAAACAGAATGGTTGGCCCCCACCAACAAGAATTAAAAAGCAAATCCAAGAGTAAAGCCTGTGCAAGTGCTTATCTGTGCTCTGGCCTGCTGAGAGTGAAAATTTCCTGGATTTTCAGATCACTTCCAAGCTAGTGATCCCTTGTGAAAGGAAAGCTAGGGGTGGGAGACAATGAATGAAAGAAGGATGTTTCTATGGGCTTGCTTTCAGTTCTCTGCATAAATTTCACGATTTCAGCATTCAAACTTAATAGCCTGCATGTTTGAGATACATGAACAACTACTGACAGGTAAAAGCTAGTATAGCATAGGTGCATATATAGTAGGAAGGGTGCAAAAAGGCTTTCAGTCACTCGTATTGGTGCAGTGAGGTCATCTCTAGTCTGTGCAGGTCCCAAGCACAGGCTGGGTTTTCACTGTAATTGAGTGGGTCAATTCTTAATTTGTAGAATCATAGAATGGTGTGGGTTGGAAGGGACCTTAAAGATCGCCTAGTTCCAGCCCCCCTGCCATGGGGGGCTGAAACTCATGTTCTTAATGCTAACTAACCAGTAAAACAAAAACAGTGTAGTTAGTGGGGTGTGATATATTTTAAATCATTAGGCTACTTCTAGTAAAGCAACTCAAGGTAAAAGCTAAAATCTTTTTCCGTTAGCATAGACAAAGCCAAAGAAGGCACACCACTTAATTCTCTGTCCAGATTGACAATCCATCTGTTAAAGTATCTGTGTTGTGACAGTCATCAATAGAAGATGGTTTGGGGACAACTCCCAAGAAAATCCACTCCCAAAATCTAGGTGTCCTGGTTTCAGCTGGGATAGTTAACTGTCTTCCTAGTAGCTGGTACAGTGCTATGTTTTGAGTTCAGTATGAGAAGAATGTTGATAACACTGATGTTTTCAGTTGTTGCTCAGTAGTGTTTAGACTATAGTCAAGGATTTTTCAGCTTCTCATGCCCAGCCAGGGCACCTGACCCAAACTGGCCAACAGGGTATTCCATACCATGTGACGTCCCATCTAATATAGGAACTGGGAAGTGGGGGGGCAGGGATTCGCGGCTCGGGGACTGGCTGGGTGTCAGTCGGCAGGTGGTGAGCAATTGCCCTGCGCATCATTTGTACATTTCAATCCTTTTATTACTACTGTTGTCATTTTATTAGTGTTACCATTATCATTATTAGTTTCTTCTTTTCTGTTCTATTAAACCATTCTTATCTCAACCCAGGAGTTTTACTTCTTTTCCTGATTTTCTCCCCCATCCCACTGGATGGGGGGGGAGTGAGTGAGCGGCTGCGTGGTGCTTAGTTGCTGGCTGGGGTTAAACCACGACACTAGGAAATACCCCATCCAGCTCTTTTCAGTGTAACGCAGGACTTAGAACTCTTTAGGCAAATATGTCTGTGTATTTCTATATATATTCATATATATTCTCTATATATTCAAATGCGTATATACCAAAAATGTATATAGAAAGAGAAAGATGGGTGTAGGGAGAAAGGAAACACAGATATGTCATATACATTATAGATAGGTGATATACATGTTGTTTCATAATGTACATTATGCATATATGTGTAATCATACATATATTTCTATACTATCTGTAAGCTAACAGTGAATTTCTTCATTACCCATATAAATGTTTTGGCCCTTTTGAACACTTCTAATTTCTTAATCTACAAGCCTAAATCATGGCTGAAAACTTCTCATCCTACCATTTCTCCTTAGTGATGGGAAAAAGAGAAATACAGAAAGAGTTCATAAGGAGTTTTGGTTTCAGTTTCAACAAGAATGGGTCAAAAAATAAAAGAAAGTCAGATAGATCTTAAATACGGTAAATTATTGTACATCTTCAGGTATGGTAAATTCTTGTAGTACAATTGATTTCAAGGCAGTGATGATGATTCACATCAAGCAAAGATTAACTGGCCTGGAAGTTCTAGAGAAAAATTATACTAAGTGTTGAATTTTCTTAAGTCTATAAAATCTTAATGAAAGATTGCTGAGTCACTACTGCAAGTTAACATACTACTAAGACCTGGCTGTAATAAGAAATGAGTTGTAGAAGCCAAATTTCATCAAGAGGTATGAAACCAATTGTGTCTACTCATCCATCCATCTGGTTTTCCCTATTGACGTTTCCGAGGGACAGTAATTTATATACTGAAAAGCTAAAATTGATGCATAGACTCCACTTTTGTTTTCTCCTGTTAAGATGGATAGCTGTGTCTCGTAAATGGCTAGGGATGATCCTAAAATTCACCATGTTACAACAAAAATGAAAATCATCAAGCAATGAGAAGACTAGTCTCATCAGTTTCAAAGCAGATTAAATGCTTATTACATTACTGGTATAAACATTTTGATAAAATATTTCTCCATAAGGAGTAAGTGTATTTTCCCGTAAGTGATACTCTTCTCTTTAGAATAAGTTAATAAGACCCTATTAACAGAGGAGAGATTCTGACATATGGACAAGTAAAACAGTTTTATTTTCTTCTTACTGATATCACAAAGTGGTTGCTGTTACAGCTAGCTGATCAGGCTATTCATTTTTTTTCACTCAAAAGTTTCAAATGAAAAGTATATTTACGTGTTCTGACTGAATATTTGTAGTCTTTTACAGGATGATTTAAAGTTCTTTTTTGGTTTGTTTCCATATACAATGTTGTGATTTCTTGTCTTAGTTCCCTTTAAGCTCTAAATACCAAATCAACATCGATGCCCCAAAATACCAATAGAATGGTACTAAGTCACTGTGAAAATGATAATTCCTTTTGAAATTTGATTTAAAAAATTATCTCTGTTTCTATGCTGTGTACACAGCAATGTGGAGAAGGTGGTATCTGGCATTAGGGTAATTTTCACAAAGCGTTGTTGTGTTATTAGTTTAGGAACTGGTACAGAAATTTCTGTTTCTTTAAGAAGCCACTCTAAATTTCAGTATATAACATGGCTTTAACGGGAGAGTTCAGTTTTCTCCATTGCTATGTCAACAACTTGTGAGCATAAGGAAGTCTTTTCTGACCTTCACCTCCCTTTCCCCATGAAAAATAAGGCAATAATTGTATTTCTGTACTTAAGGTGGTTGTGTTGCTCGAATAGTTACACAAACCGTGCAGATTCTTGGGTTTAATGGCTGTGGAAGTGTGATGTAATGTTAGTATGATTCATTTTCTTCCATAAAATTTTAGTTTTGATAACCTAACTTTTCATTATACTGCATAATCAAAGTTTTGGTAAGCTCTCAAGCTATTCTTCCCCTGCAGACTTTCTCTTTCTTCTGACATTTTCATCTTTCTTCTTAAATGTTCTAAGTAAAACAAAATATTAAGTTAACATAGGTGCATTTATTTGGTTATTGTAGTTAAAATAAAATCAGTATGGAATATGCCAAAACCTTCCCTTTAAATATTTGCCCAGTTTAGAGTGGATTCTGGTCATGGGAAATGGACACAAAAATTGAGTTCTAAATAAGAACAAGCAGTAAAGGCAAGAAAAACTGCAAGACTCATGCTAAAGTCATGAAATGGCACCCCTACTTTCTAGTGGGAAGGAGAGAGAGAGTGGGGAATAAGTTTCTTTTCATTTTAATAATACATTGAAAGTGTTTCCCTTGATCTGCATTAACGGTACTTGAGGATGAGCATCCAGGAGGTATTAATCTCAAGAATACAAAGCAAAGTGGTTCAAAATGGGTGAATTCCCACAGCTGTTTTAAGTAGAGCTGTCTGCAGACTCCTGGTATGACGTTCACTGCAGAACTGGGATACAACAATTACATAAGTGAGTTTTAACAAACTAGGTTATAGAGAAGAGAAACTCAGTGGTATGATGAGGTTAGTGGAGTGAATGTGTGTTCTCACTTTGTTAGTTCAGGCAGATTAGGGTTATCTTCGCAATGAGGGCAGGAGTTTTCCCAGGGCTGCACTTTCAACACGTAGGTGGATGAAGCAAAATTCAGCGAAGTCAGCTGGGTTGTCCATGTGGAGGCTGAATGCAGTTGAATGAAAAGCTGAGCATTGGGAATAAAGGAAGGCAAAGAGCCAAGGATCGAGGCTGAAAGGCAACAACAGAGCCCGGAGAGAAGTGAGGGAAGCAGCTCGGTGGCAGGGAGATTAAACATAAATGATTCAAAGGGGAAGAGTGGTATATGTTGAAAGGGATGAGGCAGGAAACAAGTGAAAAGGATGGAAATTTGCCTTGGGAAGTATTATCTCTTCCTCTAATGCAGGAGGTGTGATAGGAACAGGGTCTTAATCCTTACTTTAAAATATTTTAAGGTGCCATTGTTTTAGAGTAAACATGGGGATATGAGTAACTTCTACCCACAGGGTGGCACAGGAGGGTCCCTCTGCCTCTCGCTTAGCTCCCCGGGCAGGAGGGGACTTGCTCAGATGTCAGGGTGATACTCGGTGACTGCTGAGCACCACTTGGATGTCACTCCTCAGTGCCTACCTACCAACTGCTGTCACGGACTGTGCCGGAGGAGGTGGGGGATTTGATCAGCTGTGTCTGCGGAAACTGGTCCCAGATTTTTTTCTGAATATGCTCCCCATTGTCACGGCTGTGTCTGCGAAGGAGAGAGGGGCAGGTTTTTTTCAGCTGTGCTGTCCAGTGATTATGACTGTTTGAAAAAACTGTTGATGTTTTGTTTTGTTTTCTTTGAGCAGATGGGCAGAAGAAGGTTCAAGAGGAATTTGACATAGACATGGATGCACCAGAGACAGAGCGGGCGGCTGTGGCGATACAGTCCCAGTTCAGAAAATTCCAGAAGAAAAAAGCGGGGTCCCAGTCTTAGTAGCTACCTCAGAGCTTAAAACAAAGTAATCCTGAAATGATTTATCAAGAAAATCAGAAGTAACATAAAGATGCATGTACAGAAATTATCAATATTTAAAACCCCATTGGCAGATAACAAACCCTGAGCTTGTGTGTGACTTCATCCCAGATGTTTCACGCCCATTATCCTCTGTAACTCACCATTTTACTTGATGTTGTAATAAAAAGTTAGGGTGAAGTAATTAAAGTGTCTGCCTTCATCTGTCTTTTCATATTAATCCAGCAACCACAGCGTTACAAATGAACTCAGCCCAGATGCCTGTTTTCCTCTTCACGTAAAGCTTGGAGACATAAGAGCACCGTATGTTACGAGGTTTTTGCTGAGAGATGAGAGCATGCATCTCAGCCCTGCTTACCTCATTTGGAGAATTCCAGCTGCCAGCCAAATGTGGCAGTAAAATTACTTTCTCATAATGAGCTGAAAGTAAAAACTTGCAGACAGAAGCTGTCATGAGGGGAAGAGGTGTAGGAAGCAGTGAGCAGTTTATTTTTGTCTTGCAATTATGCCAATAAAGTGGCTTAAGTGGGGAAATTGTCCCTGTCCTTCCTCTTTGCATGATAATGTTCAGAATTACCCAGCTTGGACCACATTGACTGTTATGGGGGGGGGGGGGAAATCAGACACAAAATACAAAACCCAAATCCAGAAACCTTTGGAAGGGTTTTTTTTTTAATTTGTAAAAATAGAAACTGACCTCCTAAACCCTCTTCTTGATGCAGCTTTTCACTCTCTACATAATCAGTAACTGTTTCTATGCCATCTCTCTCTCCTCTTTTTATATTATTTTCAGTATTTGATGAGTAAATCATAACAGACTCCCTGTCCCTATTTGCACTGTTCTGTATTCAACTTTATATGAGCCCCTTGCTTTATCACTGTATTAGCCCAGTTTTTTGATTAACAAAACGTAGCCACAACAACGTTTATCTTAAATTGGGAAGTATTTCTATTTTCTCCCTGTTGTAAACCAGTAACAGACCAGTTTCAAGCTGGATCTAAGTAAGGATCTTGCCTGACTTCAGACCTGATCAGGAATTTGCTGCCCATATAGTGCATGAGGAAGGTTCAGAAAAGGTTTAAACAAGTACCTTGTACTCAGAAAAAGGAGCTATTTAGATTGGGCAAGTGGGACACACACCACACAGAGAAGTGTAAAAAAATCTCACCCTCTTGGCTTCATCAGCAGATTTAGGGGTTCCAGTAGGCATCTTTGTCTCTAGGGAAATCAGAGACAGAAGTGTTTTCTGAAGGACTGGTGTTTGCAGGCATTCTCCAAGGCAGCAGCGTGAGCCTCACCTCCAGGCTGACGGAGGCAGGCGTGCTGAGTGCGTTCAGCCTGCCTGCCTTTGAACAGCCTGCAGTTGGGACTCCATCAGGTGTGAGAGATTCAGGTATAATTCCCAGCTCTGCCTAGAGGGATTCATTTCTTCCTCTCCCACCTTCCACAGGAGTGTTCTGATGACCAGGGCAAGGGACACATATATCATTAGTCCCCTCCTGTAAACAGAAGGCTACAACCAAAGGGTAGGAATAGAGGGAAGGGAAGATCTCATGCTGGTGGCAGTTGCTTCCCATGAGAGCCCACCATAGCAGCAATACTGAAGGGGTGCAAAGCTGTTCCTGAAAGGCAGGCTGGGGGACTGCAAAGGGAAGGTCCTCAGCTTTATGCAGGTTAAGGCACTTGTGGTGCTGGGCAACAATTTGTTGAGAGGCCCAGACCTGATCATGGGTGATAAGAGCTCTGGAACTGTGCTGGTTAGGAGGAGCCCTCAGAGATGTTGAGCAGAGGAAACCTTATGGAGCCTGTGGGCGATGTAGAAGGCATGTGCAGACGACGTGTGAGATGCTTAATAAGCACAGCAAGACTGGGTGGGAGTGGACAGGGCTTTTTAGATCTTAGTTTGGGGATAAACATCTAAATGCTGCCCAGACCCTGCCTTAGGCACCTGTGTCTGGGTCAGGTCCCAGCCCTATGTGTGACTTACCCACACATCACCTGCAAAGTCAGAGTTCTCCAAGTTGCAGCTCAGTGCTTTCACTCTAGGAGCATATTTTAGCAACACTGTTTCTCTGCATTTAGGAATTTCACAAATAAACCTCAAACCACACTGCTGCTGTGCTCAAAGTGTGGTTTGTGGAGGCCACAGATTCCCCACTTGTCTTTCACAGAGACTGCTCACCATTTAATAATTGCCTTAGCATAATAATTTAAAAATTGTAATGGGTTTGGATTGTGTTGGTGCCATTTTGTTTAGATGAACATATATCTGTAATCAAGGACTGCATTTGCATTCTACATTATGTCATTCGAAATAGCATGAGCTCTGTAATGGTTACCTAATTGAATAAAAACCATGGGTAAGCACTAGGCTTTTATATTTGATCTGACATTCCTTGGACTTAAATTTCCTACACAACAGGAATAATCATATGGTTGGGACACAGAGAAAACGATTACATTATTGAAGCACAGCAACAAGGGCTGTTAGTAAATGAATTATGGCTCTTTCAGCAGCAGGGCTATTCTTTAATGTGAAGTTCAGAGTGCATCTTACAAATACAGTCTTAATAGACAGTGAAACATAATGAGGAAATAGTGAACTAGCATGAAATTTGGATTAATTGTGGCTGCCCCTGTCAGACAATTTCCTTTTTATGAAAATGTGTTTGCATCACAGATTCAGTTCATGTTCCCAGGAGAGGAGAGCTTTCTTGCTCCTGAGTCTTGCTTTTCATTGATCCTTTGTTCATATCCAAGGTGGCAGTTTTTAATTTCCTTTCTTACCATTAACTCATACTTTTCAAAGACCTATCTGGATATTGCTAAGGTGAGGAAAAGGAGTTTGATTCAACAAGGAACTTCACTAAGATGGGCGAAAGAGGACACTTAAACATTCCAGGTATTATATGGGTCTTTTAACTTCCACACACTCACTGAGCTTTGTAGTTAACCGGCACTACCTAGCTGGGAGTAACCAAGTCATGGAAAGCAAAATTTAAATTAGGTGGATATCTGTGCTGGTAAACCAAAAGTTCCCATAGGTAACATGATAGATTATTCAGAGCAGTAGATTTTGCAGGAAACAGGGTTATAACTCCCACCATATACACCCACACTGTCCCCAGACACATCCATACTGCTTCTGCTCCAAATTACTGTCAGATTGTCCCAAAAGAGAATAACCTACAGTTGAATGATCAGAACAATTGCCTTAGAAATCCTTTGTTCACATCGTTGCCTGGACCGTAAAATAACCTGTAGAAGTAAACAGCAAAGGAGACTATTAGAAGTAAAGAAACACCATCAGAAAGCACAAGAATGCCCAGATGAGGAAAACAGCAAACGATGTGAGTTCTATCAAGTTAAACACAGAAAGACAAGCCAAAACCAACCTGTGGCTTGCTGAAGGTACAGAGTTATAAATGAAACTTTTTTCCAAACACTCCTCAGACTGGTAGCCTCCTAGAGAATTGTGGGGATCAGTCTTCACAGTGAAAAGATCTATGAACTTACCCTAAAAAAAGAAGCCATGCCACTTCTAGTCCATTAAAGGCTAGCCACAAATGGGTTATTTAGCTCAAGTCTTTAATTGTGGCAGTGCTTTTTTTTTTTTCTTTTTCCCCTTTTTTTTTAATCCCTAAACTCTCCCTGACAGATGGTCTCCTGCCTTTTAGTATCTCTAGTGATGGTGAGGCTAAAACCTTCCTTGGCAGCTTGTACCATGACTGAACTTTTCTTAAAGCTGTAAAGGTTGGTTTGTACTTAACCTAAATCCTCCGTTCTGCCATTTAGATTAATTTGTTCTAGACCAGCTACACCCAGTTTCCCTAACCTTATCTCATAGGTTTCCTTTTCCAACCCTTTTCATCATTTTTTGTTATTCTCCTTTGAACTCTGCCAATTTATCTGTGTGCCTGAAATGAAATGCAGCCATCCAAATGAAACATAACCAGTGCCAAGCACAGCGGCATAATTATCTTGACTATTTTACATGATCAGTGTAATGATCCCCTTACCACACTTTTACATGGCTTTTGGCATTTTTTGTAACAGTATTATTTTGTTGGCTTATTGTCAGAACATAATTTCCTGTGGATATGGAGCCTCTCTGTGGTCTCTCTGTCTAGTCAGGATTTTCCCGTTCTTTTCTACAAGACACTATATTGGCTGTAAAACACCTTTCTTAATTTTATGGTCTCACTGCACCTCTGCAATACCAGGATGATACAGAAATCCAGGTAAATGTCTTTATCTGCAGTTCTTTGGCCTTCAAGTCAGGGCAGGAATTGTAATTGGTTCGGATTTTTTTTTTGTGCTTTTCCCTTTCCTATTACTAAATTATTACAGTCAGGTGCAGAGGCTTCAATGATCTCTAAATCAACATTTTTTGGAAGCTCAGAAAAGGCTTCAATGAATTCCTATTTTATTCTCAAAAGTAATCTTGCCTTTACTTGTGATGACTAATTATTTGATAAGAAAAGTCTGAATATCCACATCTAAAAATAGCTCTTGAAATAAGCCTGAGGAGTCTTGCCCCTTCTCAGTGTGTTGTGATTTAATGGTCTTTCACAAAGGCCAAACTGATACTATTACTCACATTCAGTAGTAGTTTCCACCATAAATATTCCCACTGAAGTCTTCAGGACTCATGTGACGGAGGGTGCATGAGGGCACGATCTGACGGCCTTGTTAAGTACACAAAGTATAGTGACTTTCTGTACTTAGTTTGCAGCTTTTGGCAAAATGATATCACTTTTTCTTTAACCATTGTCATTTCCAAGTCCACATTTAATATAGTGAAAGATATAAAAAAAATAATGACAAGATGGTAGCAATGATGAATAACAAGAACAACAATAACTACAGCAAGGGGGGAAATGACACACACCTGCAGAAGACTGGCATCTCTCCCAAACGAGTTAAACTAGTTCAGATCACACACGCAAGCCACAGTGACACATTTCTTTGTGTGGCGTGGGCGTACCTATCATCCTCCTCCTGGTGTGGCCAAACTCAGTTGTTTTGGTGGCAGCAAATTGGCTGCTCTGGGCAGCAGGGACCTTGCTGGTGGCGTCCCTGCTTTGCTGTGCCCCTGCCCAGGGTTGGTGCCGTCCCAGTTTCCCCACTTCTGCACGGGTGACGCAGTGCTGCCCGCAAGCCAGACATGGGAAATAGGTCTGGTCCCCACTTTAATATCACAGGGGGTATGCGAGTCCCCCTTTATAGGACTGGTTTGTTTGTTGTTTCTGGCTATCAGATATTTAGACAAAGCAGACACACTGGTGGGAGATGGCAGCAAAGCGTGGGAGCAGGGGTGAGTGAAGGGGATTGCTGTAGTGGAAAGGGAAGGGTTATGGGAAAGGCGAAGGGGACATACGTAATGACAGTGCATTAAGGAGGAGGCATAGGGTGTGGGTAGAGAATTACAGCAGGAAGGGTGGGTGGAGGGGGAACTGTGGCAGGGAGGGGAGGTGATTGCCTAATACTGAAGAGCTGGAGCATTTTATTTCCCACTCTTTTGCTGATATAATGAATTACTTTTAGATATTTCCCGTTCAGTTATATAAAACTTTAGGGGATACCTGGGCAACATTGCATGCGCTGAGGCATTGCAATGTGTTCAAGTTATG